AAAACATGGGATTAAAATTCTGCACTTTCTTGCCTGAAGAGGGAGGAAAAACTGAACCAGATAATAATTTGTTTGTGTGTTAAGTTGTTTTCATTTTTGAAATGTGTTGTTCAGATGGTGATCACAGAATAGCATTCAGTGAGACACTTAGAGAGAAGCTTCTAGTATATATCCTACCAATAATCACACACAATCAGCTCACACCTTCTCGTTATGGCATGGCATGACAGCACGGTGACACTGTGCGCTTTTGTTTTCGTTGCTTGGGATTAGCTGTTTCACATTCCTTGGTGGTATCATTGTAGCCTCGCTGTCTTCAGTGTAAACGCCTGCAAATCTGCTGCAACAAAGAAACGATGCTATCCTTCAAATTCCATTTAAGATACAGACAGATTAACTCAACAGTGTGCACTGCTGGGTCCCTTTTAACCCCTCATTTCCCCCTCACAACAAGACAAAAGTACATGCCAACCTGTACTTATAGCTTACCTGCACATAACAACCGACATCATGCAGGAATGACACTGGTGGAGGTCATCTCTTGTACACCTCAGGAGAGGCATATATTTAAACGCAAAAGATAATAACTGTGGTTACATCATGGACATCTGTGTAGCTGAAGCTCCACAGCAGGATCAAGCTGTTGCCCTTCAACATCACCAGTGCACTGCACATCAATGCGACTAAAAGTAGGCTTTATAAAACTAATGTGGAGTACATTATAACAGGGGTTTACCAGCTTTTTCTTGTAACGAGCCCCACAGGAGATGTACAGTAGGATTTAGGATTTTTAGGTTTCAAGAGTCAATCAATGATCAATCTGGGATCACTATAAATTACAATCAATAAAAAAGGCCACCCCTATGTCTTTCCTTGTGGTTCCAACTCCCCAAAAAATGTGATAAAAGTTAATTCCACTTTTGCTGGGGACCCCTACAACCCACTCAAAGACCCCTGTTGCATTATAATATACTAGTCTGACAGAGAGTTATACATAATCATTTACAGATAAAGGACTGCCACTGCTGGAGGAGCACATTTTCTCCACCTACTGTACTCACACGTTTGTTTGTTTTTCGCGATGAAAAAGTGGAACTCACTTACAAGCCGCGTGTAGCAGCTTTTGACCCGTTCGACCCTCCGTAGTTAAACAGGAAGCGGCAGCGCGGGTTTGCGTGTGTGAATATTTCGCGGGAGAGTGAAGCTGCAGACTGTCTGCTGTCAACACGGACGACAACAGTCACTGAGTTCAGAGCACAATGAGTCTGTGGGTGGACAAATATCGACCGAGCTCCCTCGGGAAACTCGACTATCACAAAGAGCAAGCGACCCAGCTGAAGAACCTGGTGAGAGAAACAAATCTGCGTGTTGACTGTCAATCCGAGCTAAGCTAACATTAGCGTCACACTCAATAGCTGCATAGAGGCTTTTTTTTTTATATATATATATAAACGTTTCATTTACTTTACCCAGAGAAATGGTGCCCTGTGCGGATCAATCCTTGTTGTCAACCCGGTCACTTGAGTGTGAATATAATGTGTTTGTTTGTGACTGCAGTGTGCATCCTTTCAGACTTGTTTTGGGGTAACGTTAACCTGAAATACACAATATATGTATTTATATGCAACCATTGCTAGATTCCACTCACAATGCCTGCCTGTTTCTGAAAGGTTGCTTTAATGTAAAGTTGCTTATTGGCAAAAAAGCCAATGGTAAGTGGACTGTACTTGTATAGCGCCTCTCATGCCACATTCATAAACATCCATACAGTGATGGCAGAGGCCAAAGGGACAAACAGAAACTATTGGTTCATAGGTTTAACAAAAGTGGGTCATGTAGTGTAGTATTACAAATTTTACAAAAAATTACAAAACGACAGCAGAAATACAGGGACGTGAGGACATGGATAAAATGCACACACATAAAAGAAAAAGAAAGAAAGAGCAACAAAAACGAAAGAAGTTGGTGTGAGTGGATAAGGGTGGTCTTAATGGGTAGTGTTGGGCATGCATGTTGTGTGGGACAAACAGAGACTAACATTCATACAGTGATGCACAGCGTGTATAACAATAGGACAAAGCACTAGTTAACCCAGTTTGTATAAAGCGAACTGTGAATGTTTGTTTCAGGTCCAATGTGGCGACTTCCCACACTTGTTGGTGTACGGTCCTTCCGGCGCGGGGAAGAAGACCCGCATCATGTGTCTGCTGAGGGAGCTGTATGGCGCTGGGGTGGAAAAGCTTCGCATAGAGCACCAGACCATCGTGGTGAGAGGGCAGATAATGAAATACACAGTCACTAGACCCCCCCCCCTCCCCTACAGAACTGCAGAGCATCATGCAGTTTCTCCAGACCTTTCTACTGTCAGTCTTCATGAACTCATCATCAAATTTAAGTCTTAGTTTCATACCTGTTTTGTGTTTCCTCGTCTCCAGGCTCCCTCAAAGAAGAAAATTGAGATTAACACAATAGCCAGCAACTACCACTTGGAAGTCAACCCATGGTAACGATGAGGATTTATTTCGTAGTGACAGTGCACAATGCATGTATTGTACCAGATAAAGTTCATTTTCACCAGATGGAAAAACGGGAACAAAAAAAAAAACAGAAAAACGGTACTACAAACAACTACACAACCAGTCACCAAAGACGTACAGTTCATCAGTAAAAGAAGTTACCAACAAACACACAGTACCAGTGTCTCACAGTTCAATGACAACAGACCTGATTGTCATACAACCTTGTTTTCAAACAAGCAATTTCATTTCAGTTGCACTTTTAAGTATTTCTGATTTGTGTCGTACAGTGACGCTGGAAATCAGGACCGTGTGGTGATTCAAGAGCTGATTAAAACGGTGGCTCAGTCTCAACAGATCCAGACAAGCACCCAGAGAGAGTTCAAAGGTAGGAACTAAATATTGTGCCAGTTTACCCTGTGAATGCTGGTCTTTGTTTTAGAGCAGAAAAATCTGAGAATAATCCTTCCTCTATTAACTACCTGATGCCATAATATCAGACAGACTGACTCACTCTTGTACTAATTGGCACTTTGTTTTTTCTCTCAGTGGTGTTGTTAACAGAGGTGGACAGACTCACAAAGGATGCCCAGCATGCCTTGCGCCGGACAATGGAAAAGTACATGGGAACCTGTCGTCTCATCCTGTGCTCTACCTCTACCTCCAAAGTCATCGGGCCAATTCGGAGCCGTTGTCTGGCTATCAGAGTTCCTCTGCCGAGCACAGAAGAGGCAAGACGGTGTAGATTGTAATTAGTAATATATGAAAGTAGTCTATTAGAAAGCCTAAAATTGCTGTGTAAGTTATGTCACTATGAGGACAACATTTTCAACTTTTTCCTGTTCGCTAGGTCTGTAATGTTCTGACATCAGTCTGTAAAAAGGAGGGACTACTCCTCCCACCTGAGCTGGCCAAGCAAATCTCTGAGAAGTCAGGTCGCAACCTCCGCAAAGCCCTTTTGATGTGTGAGGCCTGCAGAGTGCAGCAGTGAGTTATCACAAAACATAATACAATTCCTCCACAGCGGTTTCTGTTGATTCATATGGAATATAAACAAAAGTATGGGCTTATTTCGCCTGTGTTCATCTTTTCCAGGTATCCATTCTCAGCCGACCAAGATGTCCCGGTGACGGACTGGGAGGTCTACCTCAGAGAAACTGCTAATGCCATCGTCAGCCAGCAGAGTCCTCAGAGGTAGGAGAGGCAGATAAAAGAGGTTGAGCTTGTCCTGATGGCGACTAAAGAAGGTTAATCAGACTCGTGTGGATGTTTTAATACTGAATCCATGCCTGTCTCTGTTCCAGGTTGTTGGAAGTTCGAGCCAGGCTATACGAGCTGCTGACTCACTGCATCCCTCCTGATGTCATTATGAAGGTACCGTTAACTGCACCTCATATCCCGTCAAAGTGTTGAAACAGTTTGCAGTGATGTTTAAGGTATTGAGTATTCATTTTCTCTGTCCAATCCCCTAACACAGGGTCTGGTAACAGAGTTGTTGAGTAACTGCGATGGCCAGCTGAAGACGGAGGTGGCCCACATGGCAGCCTACTACGAACACAGACTGCAGCTGGGCAGCAAAGCTATCTATCACCTTGAGGCATTCACTGCTAAGTTCATGGCCATCTACAAGAAGTTCATGGAAGACGGCCTGGATGCCATGATGTTTTGACTCTAAATGGACTTAAATACAAACGACTTTAACTTGCTCGTGTTTCGTGCCCCAACAAGACTTTTTGCATTTTAAAATATACAAGAGATAACAGGACAAGAGATGTTTTCCTAAAAATCTGCAACAGAACATTACAATAAATAGCTTTCTTCACAACCTGTTACTCTATGAATATGACCAAATGTAACATTTCATTACTATTACACTTAATATTACATAGCAGATGTTTTTTTACATCAACCTTATTGACCATCACTCCTGAAGTATAAAGTGTGGCTCTTGGGTATTATGTAACGTGACACTGCCTACAAAACTGTTTGATGTTGCTCAGAGGTTCCCAGTATGTGAGACAGACTGGAAACATGAGGAGAGAGTGAGGAGGATTAATGCGATAAAGGTTCCCAGCTTGTATCCAGGGGCATTGTTAGTATCTCATTCAAATAAATCAAAAAATGTAGCATCACTGTTTGTTTTTCACCTTATTTGAGCACTTTTATTGTTGGCACTAAAGACAGATGCAAATGTTTATTATAGTCACAAAACTACAAACTAGTGTGAAGAACATTAAACAAAAAAAACTTAGAATAGTATTTATGTTCTGTAAAGGCAGGTACATACTGTAAAATGTACTATCCAGAGGCTTCCTCTTCCTGATTACTTCTCCTTCGGATTCTATGGTGAAATTACCTTGGCAGCATGGTGGAGTGCAACAGGTCTCAATAATTGGGAAAACACTAATGGGTGACACTTGACTTTCTGAGCAGCATAAACTCACAAACAAGTAGTTTTGAAAAGACCATTCTGTGATATCCATTATTATTTGAAATTGATGATTTGCAACTAGTGTCAAGAATTTTAAATCATATATTACATGTTGGTTATGTGACTGATGCATGAACTTTGACTATTTGGAACTAATTTGCAGACCTTTTGATCCTGTCGCTACGACAAACTTAAAATTAGTCTGTGGAGCTTCCTTTGTTATTCAGGTGCTTTATAGTCCCTTTTCTTGTAGTACGTACCTAATTTAGTCTTACAGCCGTGGTGGAAGAAGGGTTAAGCCTGGTAATGTCATTTATAAAATTGCTATTCCACAATATTTTAAAAACAAAAAGATGCATTCTAGTCTTGAAAACATCTAAAATAACATTTGTAACACCTAAAATGTAAAGATGATTGGAACACTTTAGTTATTCAGACTCTATTTAATATAAAGGCCAAAGGAAGAACCATAATTTAGGGTTGTAAAGTAAGATAGAGACTGAACCCTAAATTTTTTTCCTTAAGTCATTTAAAAAAAAGACAAAAACAATCATCAGTAACACTCCTTGTGTCTCTTGGCTGTGTAATAGATAATGAGGCCCAGGGTGATCAGCACCCCTGAGCCTACCAGAGTCAGGAAGCCTACCACGGGCCCCTTGACTAGCATGTGGCAGCCTAGGCAAGGCTGAGGCATGCTGGGACACTGCTGGGGCACAGCTCCTTGAATAGGAAAGCCGTTGTGCTGGATGATGTTGCGATAGTTGGAGAGAGAGGCCTTGATGATGACTTCTTCGTGGACGTGGCCGTACAAGCCGAACCCTGGGTCCCTCTGGTCACTCAGGGCGTAGGCAAAGTAACCCTTCAGGTTTACACCGTCCAAAGTGTACGCTGAGGAGGGAGTAAAGAACGTTTGAGAAGTTCAAAATTCATTTACTTGTATGTGCATTTGAAGGTGGCAGACTGGGTGTGTGACGGTACAAGAAAAGGTAACACTTTATCTTAATCCCACATATTTATCATGTATAAATAGTTTCTAACACAATATGATGAAGTACTGAAAAGCACGTCTAAGTACAAGTGTTTATGAATGTGTTGTAATTTCATTTTGACACTTCATCTATGAAGATATATTCTATATAATTACAACTGTGTTATATTGTCATTCATTAAAATGAAGTTAGGTAAACTTGTTGACAACTACATCAATAAATATTTTAAGAGATATGCTAACTAACTACATTGGTGTGTTGTAAGCTACTTATTCATTTTAATCTACTGCTTGTGTTTAATGTTAATTATGGGGCTTTAAGTGTTACCCAAAAAAAACATGTAGGTCATAATGCTTATGTTTTTCAGATTTAAATTATCCTAAAAAGTATGTAGCTGTGGATCGTAACTATGGTAATTACAAGCACTCTAGTTATTGAGTAACATATAGTCTGAGAATTTTTCATGACTTACAGACACAGCTATTTATACATACAAATATTCTACCAGGTGAGCTACGAAAGCATCCCCAGACATTGCCATTTATGGAAAATGCCTCATAATTATGATACAGAAAGTAATATGTTTGATTTACTATTTCACAACTAAAAGGCATTTATTAGAATGTATTATATGTATTTATTTTCCTGGCCTACATCAGCATCCATTATAGTACTCCTCTCACTACATGAAAAAAAAGCCTGACAATTCATATATAGTTTAAACAAGGCAAATAATTCCTCATATTTTATGGTTAATGTATTTCAGACTTTGTAAATGTTGCTCTGTATATACAAACAGCTTTCTGTGCGTGGTTGCCACTTAGTGGTGACAGAGCACACTGCAACATACAATTACGTGATACTATATGTGCACACACTTTTAGAGTGCTGGCTAAGGTCTCAGCTGAGCGTAACCCAATAAACTTTACAAGGACAGGTAACTGGATAACAAGTAACCTTGACTCAAAACAAAATCAGTGTACAGTGTGTATCTCTGTTTATATTTTTGTAAGCATACAGTAGGTGTGTGTTTCTGAGTCTGCTGACTATTCAAGGGTCAGTGACCAAAATACTTGTCTAATAATTAAGCTCTACAGAGGCCATCGTTGGGGAAAGACTTCAATCACCTCTGAAGGATTGATTACTCAGTACACATGCAGCGATAACAATATTCGCCTCCCAATTGCACTGCCTTAATCCTATAAACTCTCAACAGCAACATGTGTGTTTGTAGTCTCACCTTTCAGCGCCTCATTGATATAGTTATACAAGTAGTAGACCCTTAGGCTGTCTTTGAAGCGGGCTGGGTCTTCCTGGACACCGTTAGCCATCACATAGACAGGTACATCACAGTAGTGCTCCTTCACCTTACAACACCATAAGAGCAATGTCAGTTTTGATGTCATGGTGGTCACACTGTGTTGGTAATGTCTGCTCTTACTCCTTACTTCCAGGGTGGATTAACATTTGGGGGGAATCTTAACCACTGAATCATAAGTGCAAAGCAAGGCACTGAGCTAATATTTTTGTGTCTGGTATAGTTTTCCTTAAAGTCACCTGGTTAAAAATTCTTCCATCTACTCCTTCACCCTCATTTAAAAATCCAGGATCTATGAATATGCAAATATTCCACTACTACTACTGGACACAAGTTGTCTCACTTTACTAAACAGTAAAGGTCAAACATCCAAGTGAAAAATCAATAAGAGCAACCCATTTCTGAGTGGAGGGGAACTTTAAAAATATGTGTGGTCATGGTGTAGTAGTAGTAGGGTAGATATACATGTGTTTGCCTTAAATCAAATCCCATGTGCGCTGTCTGTGTCTGTCTATGTCTCCCCTTTTCTATGTCCCTGTCAGCTTGGTTCAATTAGGTCAACATACAACTTTTTAACTCTTCACAAGACAATGACTCAAGTCTGCATCACAACCAGCCACCAAATGAACAGTGGCACAAAAGCCTCCAATCTCACCCAGTTGAGGGCTTTCCTCAGGCCCCAGGGCACAACAGGCCTCGGGGACATGATCCATGTGGTGTCTATCATGTGTTGGACCTCTAGCATTGCTATGTAGGTGTATCTGGAGACATGGAAATGATACTGAAGCTTTGTATCACAAAAACAAAACTGAAAAACATTATCATAATGGTTCGTCATCTTATACATGTATCTTAAAATGCTGGATGTATACATCAGGGACATCAAACATTAGGACGAGATATTTGTCTTCAGCTAAACTGAACTACTTTAACACCAGGACAGTTATTTGTATGTCTTCTGTAACTATCTGTAACTACATATAAATAAATAAAACATTATCTTACGAGTCTTCCTTGGCATGTGTCACCAACTTGGTACTGAAGTGACTAATGGCAAAGAAGTCATATGTCCCTTTAACCAGCTGTCTGTCCTCCTCTTTGAATACTGGCAGACTATGGAAAAACACAGAAAACATAGCATTTAAAAAATTATATAAAACTACCATTTAAGAAGTACAAGTGAGTAGTTTGGGCTTTTCCCCAATAAATCCAGACAATATGACTTTTATACAAATTGTTTATACAAATTGTTCATATTGTCGAAATTGAAACCATAATGTGTATCTGATATGTTTCCGCAAAAAAGAAGAAAAAAAAAACCACATTAAAATCCTACTTCTTCTACCTCATTAAAAGTTCCAGAGGTTAAGTTTCCACATCACACTTGCAAATTGAATATTGGTATATACATATATTATATAATATATAACCTACTGATTTCCATTTGATACAGTGCTGGATTGAAAATCTAGATTTAGATCAATAATCTATTAGTGGTTTGAACTGAGATTATTTGTTGACATTTTTTCATTGTGACAGCAAACAGCAATGCTTATTCTATAGCTAACAAAGTGACTGTATTGACGTATGAATGAAGTATTTGTACTCAAGTGAGTTGAGCTGACGCAGCCAGCTCCTCATTCCTAGAGGATAGTCCCCACTGCCAAAGATCGGCTCTGCAAACCAGCCAACACGGAAGTCCAAAACTCTTTTAGCTGGTTCTACATCTTCACGGCTGAATGAGAAGGCTGGTTCCACCCAGTCCATGTGCAGAGCCAGAGACACCTGAGGCACAACATAAAACATGGAAGCACAGGTGATAATCTGTGTGATATTTGGAATAAAAAGAAGCAGAAGCAGCAAGAGCCAACATCTGTAAACAGACAAAACACACAAATTTCCACAACAGAAAATCCAATAAAATAGATGTCGCTTTACTAGCAAAATTTGGCTGTTTAAATGTGAAAAGATCTATAGAAACTGACATGCAAGAACCAAACAGCTAAGACAAAGACAAAGAATATTGCAGATGGCTTGTTTAACTGCAACACCTAAACATAAAAACAACACTTCCTACATATAATAAAAGTATTTGAGTAATGGATAATAATAATTCCTCACAGACATTACCAATTAATCTCAACACTGCAGTGCTACTGACCTGTCCTCCCTGCGCAGGTCTGAACTCGTCATAAGCGTGCCAGGCCAGAGCATGTGCCCGCAGCATCTGATGACCCTCCTCGTAGCTCACCATCTCATCGTTGGGCTCATTCAGAGTGATCCACATCTTTACATGAGCACCTAGTTCTCTGTAACAAAGTCTGGCATAGTCTGCGAACGCCTCTGGAGTCTCCCTAAGAAAAAATTTGAAGGTGGAAAGGAAGGTATT